ACGGCCAAACAAATCGTTGGGATACCATTTTCACTGTGGCATTTCTTCCAGGATGGCTTAGGTTGTGAAATCGTTAAAAAACTTGTTTTCTTAACGTCTCGGAACGAAAGGTCTTGGAATATTAGTGGATACATCGCATATACGTTGATGGTAGTACCCGGAAGACGTACTGACTTTAGGACCAACGAAGAACTGTTCTTTAGGCAGCTTTGCAGTTCCGCGTCATCTTGTTGTTCCTTTGCGATTATGTTATAATCTGCATTCGACGAGACATGTAATTCTTCGATCCGGGATAAAGCATCAGCTACGACGTTTTCTTTTCCTTCAATGTGCTTTATTCCGTTGTAAATTGTGCTATGAAAGTTAGTTGATTCAGTTGAACTGGCGGCAATTTGTCCTGTTTCTGTTGGAAGACAAATGTTAGCGGTTTATGGTCTGTGTATACTACGAAATGTTGTCCATCAAGAAAGTGCCTAAAATGTCGGATAGCTTCAAAGATTGCTAGAAGTTCTCGGTAGTATGTTGGCCATTCGCATTGGCGTTGCGTTTAGAAATTTTCTCTCGAGAAGAAAGCTAGTGGTTGCCATGTTTTCCTATTTGTTGTTGCAGCGATGCTCCTATTGAAATTGTACTAGCGTCTGTAAATAAAGCTAACTTGCCGTTGACCACTGGATGATGTAAAGAGTAGCATTTGATAGGCTTTCTTTGCAATTAATAAAAGCCTGCTGAAATTGCTCGTTCCATTCTATGATAGTGTTATTTTTAACGTTTGGTCCTTCTAGCAGTTTTTGCAATGGATCTTGCAATTCAGCCGCACGGGGAATGCATCGGCGAAAATAATTAATCATTCTAGAAATCTGCGCAATTCTTGTATGTTAGTAGGAGGTTTGATTCTTACAAGAGCTTCCACTCGTTCCTTAATTGGGCGTATACCATCTTTAGAGACTGTGTATCCCAAAAAAAATCAATTTCCGGGACACTAAATATGCATTTCTCACAGTTGATTATGATACCATACTGCTGCAGTCTTTCGAAAATGCTTCGTAGATGTCTTGCATGCTCTTCCTGGGTTTCTTGATGCAATTAGCAAATCGTCGATATAAGCATAGCAAAAATCCATACCTGTGTGTGACTTCGTCGATAAACCTTTGAAAGGTTTGGCCTGCATTACGAAGTCCGAAGGTCATATAAGGAAATTCGAAGAGTCCGAAAGGAGTCGTAATTGCTGTTTTTGGTATGTCCTCCTCGTTGACCGGAATTTGGTTGTAAGCCTTCACCAAGTCGATTTTGGAAAAAACTTTCATTCCTTGAAGATGCTGCGTAAAATCGTAAATGTGCTTTACCGGGTATCTGTCTGGAATAGTTCGAGCGTTGAGTGCCCTGTAATCTCCGCACAGGCGCCATCCGAGGTTTCGTTTAGGTACCATGTGAAGCGGCGCGGCCCAGGGGCTGTTTGATCGTCGAGCGATTCTGAGCTTCACCATTTCTTCAAATTCTGTTTTAGCTATTTGAAGGCGTTCCGCGTTGAGCCGTCTTGGTTTAAAATAAATCGGAGGCCCTGGTGTTGTATTGATGTGGTTTGTGTTGAATGCTTCACTTTGTGAGGTGCTCCTTGAGGTCTGGTAAATCCGGAAATTCTTGCAATAGGCTGTGGTGCTCCTTTCGCAGGTTTTAACAGTTGGGACGACTGCATCTGTTACTTTTCCCATCATTTGTGCTTTTGTATCTCCCTCTAGAAGCCGTTTGTTGCGCAGATCTACCAATAAGTTATAAAATGATAAGAAATCTGCTCCAATAATGGGTTTTTCGACGTCGGCTATCACAAACTTCCAAGAAAAATTCATTTTAAGGCAGAAGTCAAAATTAATTGTACTGTCCCATAGGTCGCCATTTTCGCACCATTTGCCGTATATAACGTATATTCGGTACGCGGATGCTGCCCTTTCAGTTTTCTGCGAGGGTATACACAAAGATCCGCGCCCGTGTCGACTAAAAATTCTTGTTTAGATGCTTTGTCAACAACTAATAGGCGGCTTGTTGAACTAATTAATTGACAGTCATGCGCCGCATTCATTGACTGTCGTTTAAGTTTAAAGATTTAAATGAACAAGGTTCATTACACTTCCGTGCTTTAGCTCCAAATCTTGAGTGGTACTGGCAATAGCCACGTGGAGATGGATGCACGACCTTCGACCTCGATGGTAAGGTTCGGTACTTGGCTTGGGTGAGGGCTTCAACTTGTTTAGCTAACAGTCAATCTTTGAATTTAATGTAGCGTTCTGGTTTTGAAGCTCCAAAATTTGTTCTGAAATGGTATGATTCATTTCTTTGGACGTGGATGGCATTTGTTTACTAACTCCTTGGATTTGATGCTGCAACATATATCGGCGATTTTATCTGCCATGTCTGCTATTTTATCCAACTCGAGATGGTCGTGTGCCGAAATTATGGCTTGAATATTTTCTGGTAGCCGCCTGATCCACAATATCTTGAGAATACTATCGTCGACTTTTGACCCGCCTAGTGCGCGCAAATGACGCAAAAACTGCGATGGTCGTCTGTCGCCGATTTCTTCTCTGTCCAGTAACTGTTCTAACTTGCGATCTTCTGACATCGATACTCTCTTGATGAGAGTACATTTCAGTGTTTCATACTTATTCTCTGTTGGTGGTTTCAAAATAATGTCTTCAACCTCGGCTGCGTATTGCGTCTCTAAGTATGCGATTGCTACATAAAACTTTGTAGTGTCAGCTGATATATTCGAAAGCGCAAATTGTCCCTCGAGTTGAGCAAACCATAGCTGAGCCTTTTCAGGCCAAAATGGCGGAACTTTGACACCGACTCTTTCGACCTGCGATGGCGGGAAAGATATTTGCTCTGGCTTATCCGGTTTTGACATGCTCGACTATTCTCACGTCAGGGGTCAATGTAGCAAGTAGGGTACTATCTTCTTCTCTTCCTTGTGTCCACTGCGTGCTCCGGTAGGCAAGTGAAGGGCCGAGTATTGCTGCGCTGTGGTTTTATACCATAGAGGATAACGGTGCATGGCAGGGACGCGCAACCTGACGTAGTGCGCCAGGGCTGTGCAACCTTATCCTATATATATATATCGTATATATATATATATATATATATATAATATATAATATATATATATATACTCCTGTCAACTAAGTATGGGAATTGTTTTATGAGTAATAAACACACGCCAACAATTAATACAATCGCACTTTTTAAATGTCTATGAAGGTATTGCATTTAGCTTCTTGACTGATTTTTTCGTACAATTAGTAGCATTTTATCGATCCAAAGCGGTGTCCTATGAATGGCAGTTGAGTTGTTTGTGTGAAAGAAATATATTACATGTGTGGACGGTGGTTGTACTATATTTCACATTTATTTGCAAATTTGTTGCAAAAGCGTTTACGTTCACAATATGATCCTTATGCGACGGTGCCTTTTCAAGATCTATCTATTTTCTTTCCACAAATTGAGACGTTTTCCATGCACAATCTCTCTGAATGCCGCATAACTTTCGAATAATGTATCATATTCACAACAAAACCATTTGAAATTATTTGAGTTATTCACAATAAAACCATTTGGAACTATTGAGTGCACAAGATCACTGCAATCAACAACATCAGCTCTGTAACTTCAAATTTTGACCAACTTCGATGTTGTCAAAAGTCAAGGTCTTGGTTTCGGCTCATCTCGGCAGAGCACCATTCTGCTATCTTACGACTGGATTTACCTACATTTCATACATCATCTTTTATCCAAATTTACTTTTTCATGGATAATTTTCGCCAACTTTTTCCGGTAAAATTTTTGAAAATAGTTCAACACTCGTAGAACGCGTAGAACAGATCCTCCACGTATACACTAGAAGAACAGATCCATATTTATCATTTTTTCCATATCATATTTATCAAATTCTTAATGTGTCAATATTCATAACTATATAAATTCTGTTTAAAACACAAAATTTAAAACAAAGCCTCTATGCGATTTGTTTTTCATTGGAGAAATAGCGGAACACGCTATATATAAAAAAAATATTATTACTATTACTATTATTATATAAAAAAAATAATAGACGGATGGGGATCAAACTTCGTACCAATAATAAGGACTTTTGTACACATTTTTTAATATAATAAATAAAAACAATATTTTTGTTTATATTAACAAGAAAAATTTAGAGACTGTCTAATAGTGTTAACTAAAACCTAATTCTTATATATAAGAATACGGTAAATTAAAAATTTAAATTAAAAGTTGTCATAATCTTAACTAATTATAACTGTTAATTTAAATCAATTATTATTTGATATAAATAAGAGTAGTACTATATACAGCATATAAATATATTCATTTCTGTTTTTGATACATTTTATGGTTGCTATAAAGCCGTATAATAAAGTATAATAATTTACTATATAACATGTCACCACATTCGTATTTCATTCATATCATAAAAAACTTTTAATAATATGACATAAAACAAAATTACCTGTTCTTCATAATAATGCATCCATATAATTTGGCCTTAATTATGATATCAGATTTGTACTCGTAATTGTAGATCTCAAAAATAATTTGAAGCTGTAATATATATTTATATAAATAGTAGTAATAAATCTAATACAATCTCAATAGAAAGACAATATTCTTTGAAATACCTTCTCGAAATACTAAGTTAAGTACAAAAAAACACATTCAGATTGCTGTTTAAAAACACCTATACAGAACAAACATTCATATAATTCAGTTGCAAATAGTAGTAGTTAAATTTTTGTTGCTTTTATATAGTGCTATAATATTACAAATTCAGTTATGCCCTGTTTATTACTACACTTCTCTGTTCTTAACTATTTTCATAACAAACATTCAAGTCTTTCCTTTGACTTCATGTAGCTTTATATTTGTGTTGAATGATATTACAGAACACTACTCCGTACGTCTACGTGCTGCAATTGCAGAAGATATAAGCTCTGAAATGAATTTTTCTGCAGAACAAACCGCACAACAAGAGATAACTTATATATTACTATCGCTCCATTAAACTCACTTAAATAAATTATTATAAGAGAATAATAAAAGTTGGCGGTAATCATTGCAGCCGGTACAGTCTCTTGTTATTACGGCGGTATATTCTGCACAGAACCGTTGTTGAGGATTTATTGTTTCACATGATTGTGTTATAAATCATATTTTTGTTCCGAGTATAATAAATACAATTGTATTTAATAACTTCTCTTCACCGTGCATGACTTCGAGAGATACGGCTTCTTTGTTTTTCTCGAGAGAAATCTTTTGAATTGTACGTTCTCGGATATATTATTACATTTTTTGCTGTTCTTGTTTTATATTCATCAAAGTTTGTAGAAAATGTTAATAAAATCTCATAAAACTTTCTTTATATGCTCAAGAAATAATTTTGAATATTATTTGTTGACATTAATCTTTTGCTTTAATCCTATTATTTTGTTAAACTACATTCTTTTATCTTATATGAATCTACACATTTATCAGAGTAAAGGGGTAGAGCGAGAAACAAAGGTTTAATTTGACTTACAGTAATTATATTGATTAAATAAAATGATCTATATCACAACACATAACCGTATCAAACAAGATGCAGTGAATTTCCAAATTACTTCTAAATTATAGAAATTTGGTTTTTCACTAGTTTTTATAAAATTAGCCACCTGCCTCTTTTAACCGCATATGCGGAGCAAATACGAATGCGAATGTTTTCTTTTCACTTTTAAAAGCTACATTATTCAGAGAATACAGATTTTTTTTAAAGATCTCATGGTATATAACCTTGATCTGGTATTGCGTCAGAAATATTCATTAGCACTTGGAATAAATATTCATTTCATCTCTTGCAAAATGGCTTTTCTTGACTTGGTTCACATTAATAAGAGATAATGGTAGTAGACCACTTTACCCGCAGACCTTTAAGCCCCGATTACCAAACATATTTGGATAGCAGTTTTTGGAATATGTGTATTAAAGTGCTTATATTTTCAAATAAAGAGTTAATCTTCAAATTACATTCTCATTTCATCATTCAAGAAGCAAAATTTTGTCTGATATTTTAATAATTCGAGCCTCACGATTTAATTAATTTTACGACCTAATTTGTAAATATTGTTTAAAAGCAAATTTAATTATACGATTATTGCTAACCTTGAAAACGTTGTTCTGCAAATTAAACAGATACGCTTAGCAACATCCACAAGTATTAAAGAACATGTTTCTAAATATTCTGTTTTCAGCTTTTACCAATTTGAATACTCTATAATAATGCTGCAATATTCATCTTATATGTTGGGCACATATCAGGCTTCTACAATTTTTTTAGTCAAATATTATTATTTATTTTTCCATGTAATGAATCGCATTGGGAAATTGCCAAAGGTTGCTCAGAATTTATTTTTAGTTATTAATTTATTTATTTGACAAAGTAATATAATGGGTTGTGAAACAATAATTCAATTTATTAAAGTGTATGCCTCTCGCAGTTTTTACTAAATCTTATCTTTATTAGAATAATATTGTTTGCCCTTCGATGGTCTAAATCACTCTGATACCGAATGGCCGCCAGCTTAACTACTTAACTAATACTGCTTGGATGATCGACTATTTATTGAACAGATTATTTGGCCTTGCATTGATATTCCCAAATTTTACAACAAACCAAATTATACAAAGTTTGTTTATCATGAATATACTGCTTTATAAACCAAGCAATTACGCTGAACTTCTCCGACGGTATTAAAGAACATGTTTCTATATATCCATTACCAAGAAACTTTGGCTATCTTCCAGAATCAAATTCTTTAAACCGATGCTATTGTATTCGGTGGTGGCTGCGGCGTTAAGTGATTATCATAAACGTTGCCCTCGCGCTAGTCGCCTGGGCGTACGTAATCTAGTGCCGAAATGTTTGGGTAAAAGACACCATTCGGATTCATCGTTACAATTCCACCCTAATCAGCAACACCATAAAACGCGCCCATAAGAAAGCAAATAAACCCAAAACTGCAAATCGTAAACCGCCAAAGTTTCACTTCGTTCCACAACTCAGGAGCGTCTCACTGTTTGTGTTAAAATAATATAAGCTAATAAACGTTCATGTGCTGCATTGTGTGCCGACTGCGCTCAAGTTGCTCCAGGTAATGTACATGTATATGCAGTGCGTTCAGAGTACAGTATGCAAAGCACATACCAGCGGTTAGTTATGCTTTCATTAAGAAATGGGAACCTGTGTGAAGTTTTGGATAATTATGTGGAAACTGTATGATCAAATACCAAATAACCACGAAAAATCAAAGCATGGCGTGTTAAATTTAGGTTGTATGTAGGGATATTAAGAAATGGGAACCTGTATGAAGTTTTTGATAATTTCGTAGATACTGTATGATCAAATACCAAATTACCACCAAAAATTAAAGCCTTTCTAACTAACGTCTTTTTGGCGGTAGGTAAACTGTTAAATTTAGGTTATATGCAGGGTTATTAGTATGAAGTTTTGGATAATTATGTGAAAACTGTATGATCAAATACCAAATTACCACCAAAAATCAAGGCATTTCTAATATTTGTCATTGGCAGCGGCAGGAAAAATTTTAAATTTAGGGTATATGTGGGATGGTTATATGTGGGGTTATTAAGAAATGGGACCCCGTATAAAGTTTTGGATAATTATGTGGAACTGTATGATCAAATATCAAATTACCACCAAAATTCAAGGCATTTTTATTATATTATTGGCGAAATATATACTGTTGAATTTAGGTTATATGTGGGGTTATTAAGAAATTGGAACTTGTAAGAAGTTTTGGATAATTAGGTGGAAACTATATGATCAAATACCGAATTACC